TGGAAAAGCACAAACATATCTCACCATAGAGACCCATGATGCCATACGGGGACTACTTTCCATTCCCCATGATGCCATATCAGTTCTTTGACCCATCCCTATGGCAATCTCACTTTGAACGTTATTATTCCGAGCAACAGAAACGGGCTCATTATACACCAGATCATTCCCAGCCATCTTCACCAAAAACTTGACACCGGTCTATGAAAACCACTCCACCTGCTTTGACATCATTCCCTGATCAACCATCTAAATGATCTAAATTGACATCGAAACCCAAGAAGCATGATCGTTCAATCCCATCTCACTCACTTCATCTCACTCAAGTTCCATTTGAGTCTATAGAAACTCAAGAACCATGGTACCATGAGCCTCTTCTTCCTTTTGCTGATCCAGGCTACCCATCATCACCTGGCTCCTCCTCCTCCTCTGAAGATGATCACTCTGAGGTTCTTTCCCACTCATCTCCAGACCTCCCTACCCTTCCTGATGACACAAGGGATACTCATCCTTCCTCCCCCTCGGAGGTCTCTCGACACCGTGTTTCACCAACTCTGCCTTTGCTGGAGCACACCAACCATCGACCTCTTTCAATCGAGAGCGAACAGCAAGTGCACGATCTTCTGCTCCTGAGCTGGAGCAGAAACCGACTCCAGGGGCAACGCGTTCATGATGGATTGGTCCCAGGACTTCCTTTACCTGTTCCCTCCGATACCCACTCATCAAAAGGGTGATCATTCAGCTCTGCCAATCCAGAGCGAATGCAATCCTCATAGCCCCCAAGTGGCCCAGACAAACATGGTTTACTTACCTCACATCAATGTCAACAGACTCATTCTGTCTTCCTCTTTTGCTGAATCTCCTGACAATCAACCAAGGGCTGATCCACTACCCAAATCCAGCATCCCTGAGCCTCACAGCCTGGAGAATACTCCCGTGTTAAGGACCATTTTAGACCAAACCCGTAAGCCATCAACCAGAGCCCTATATAGAAATAAATGGAAATCATTCATCAAATATATAACACAAAACAACTTACCTGCCATTTCTGTTTCCTTGAAGACTCTACTCTCCTACCTTCTCCATCTCTTTGAATTGGGACTCTCTTTTTCCACCTTAAAGGTGTATATATCTGCCATCATTGCCCATCAACCAGACAACTCTCCCTCTGTGAGATTATTCTCCCACCCTATGGTCAAGAAAGTCCTCAAGGGACTTAACAATATCCGCCCTACACTTCAGTGTATTGTACTTCAATGGTCCATCCAGCTGGTCCTCAGTGCATTGATGCGCCCACCTTTTGAACCCATGTCATCTTCCAACATGAAGCTACTTACCTTCGAAACAGTTTTCCTTGTTGCTATCACCTCTGCCAAACAGGCCAGTGAACTTGCCGTTCTACAAGCCAATCTACCTTTCACAGTGACTTTATACTTTGATGTTTCCTTTTTACCTGAAGTGGTATCTGACTTCCACGTCAATCAACCCATCATATTACCATCTTTCTTTAAGTCCCCATCATCTCCATTGGAACACATGTTCCATACAATCGATGTCCAGCGAGCCCTTGCTTTCTACTTGGACAGGACAAAAACTGTCAGAAAGACCAACAAACTCTTTGTTTTCATGGCCCTCGCAAGGGCACCCCTGCCTCTTCTCAACCCATCTCTAGATAGTTAAACTATTTCTCTCTCCTACCAACTGTCAGGGAAAACACCTCCTGACCATTTGACATCTCATTCCACCAGAGCTCTTTCCACCTCAGTTGCCTTCCATCGTGGAACTGAGATCCCTGATATATGTCGTGCTGCAACATGGTCCACACCTTTGACCTTCATCAAGCACTACCGACTAGATGTCAGAGTGTGCCATGATGCTTCATTTGGCAGGACTGTGCTCACATCTTCTCTACCGTGATGTCCCACCTACCGGTAAGTGAAGCTTGCTAGTCACTCATATGTGTGCATTCACAGAGGCCACAAAGAACAAAAAGAGGTTACCAACCTGTAACCATAGTTCTTCAAGTGGTCCTCTGTGAATTCACACTACCCACCCATCCTCTCCTCTGTCCATCACGGGTGTTTTATCTAATTACTACATAACTTTCTACCCGGCGACAAATTTTGGGAACTGAGAGGAGTGGTGGGTGGGAGGAGCATGTACCTTGTGGGGGAATCACACCATAAAATTGTTACTTTTAGCTCTAGAATCTTCCGAGAACATCAGCGCAGGTGCAGACAAGACCCATATGTGTGAACTCACAGAGGACCACTTGAAGAACTATGGTTACAGGTAGGTAACCTCTTTTTTCTTGGGATGCTGATGAACTGAAAGGTGTATAGTGATGGGAAATAATAACGGAGAGTAGCGATATTAATGTAGAGGTAATTTATATTAATGTGATTAATGCAAATGTTTTAACTGTATTAATTGCCTTGGATGTTTGTAGTAGTAATTTGGATTTGGTGAACATAGTAATAGTAAGAAAAATTGTATTATAGGGTACATATAAGTATTGGTAAGTTATTGTTATATGTGCATGTACTTAACTGTTTGTTTATGAGGGCAAACTGCTGGGTTTCCCCTCATAGAACAAACTTTTTAAGGGGGGAGGTATGTAGCGATCACCCTGCTTTAGCTCAAGTAGAAGATTATTGGCATGTGCCAGTGAGAGCTGTTGGGAGGCGGAGCCAGAGAAACTAGAAGGGAGGGGTGAGTCTGAGTCTAGAGAGTTCAGTCAGAGAGACAGAGAGGAGAGTTTTGGAGTTGAAGGCAGAGGGAGAGTGTTTAAGGAGTGATTAGTCAAAGTGTGACCTGTATTAAGATAGAAGAGATTAAAGTAAAATATTGAAGTTTTGTGTAAAATTAAGAATGTGCTTAAGAACTAGTCCTAAAACAACTTGTAATTAATAAACCTGTTTCTGTTTAAAAGTTCAGTACTGAGTGGACATCAGTCTTTCATAGGAGATATAGGTTGATAAAGAGATCAACTGGTGGCAGCGTGTTAAAGGGTGGTTTGGGATGCCTTCATAAGCTGTCTGTGTGGTGAAACAAATGGGCCACGGGGTAAACATCACACCTTCATACTTACAATTTTTCAAAGACACGATCATGGCGCATCCTGATGTCTCCTTTTTCCCTAAAATGGTCTCCCACTTTCATTTGCCTCTGCCTTTAGCCTTCTTGACTTTCTTCCCCAACATGTCTTCCACTTTGGAAAGGGATCTCCACATGTTGGATGTTTGTAGGGCATTGGCCTTTTATATTTCTCAGACTGCTTTGTTCCATTTTTATCAGAGGTGGTTTGTCCGTTACGATACCTCTTCAAAGGGTTCTCTCATCTCCTTTCAGCGTCTTTCTCACTGGGTTGTTTCTACCATAATTTTTGCTTACTAGCTAGCTAAGATACAGTTGCTGCAATTTGTTAAGGCTCATTCCATGACAGCTGTCTCTACTTCAACTGCCTTTTTATGTGGCGTCCCTCTCCAGGAGGTGTGCAACGCTGCTATGTGGTCCGAGCCTCCAACTTACAACAGACTGGATGTTCGCGATAAAATGCCTGCGGCTTTTGGAAGAGCTGTGCTATCAGCTTCTGTGGCGTGACAGCCCACCTGTGGGTAAGTCAGCTTGCTACTCACCCATATGTGTGATTCATGGAGGCCACAAAGAAGAACAGGTTACTTATCTGTAAAAGTAGTTCTTCAACTGGTCCTCCATGAAGTCACACAACCCACCCTCCTGTCACTGTCCTTCCTTCTCAATCGTGGGACAGTGGTGGCCATGGGGGACTGATATTTGCACACCAGTACATGCGTGCTGAGAGGGGGGAGGGTTCTATTCTCTTAAGCTCTAAAATGTTCTGAAGTTCCGTGCATGTGCGCTACAAAACCCATATGTGTGGCTTCACGTAGGACCACTCGAAGAATGACATTTACAGGTGAGTAACCTGTTTTTATTTTGATTAAAAGCAGCTTGTCATTTTCTGCAAACCTGATAAATGATGGCTGAAATCCTATTCACATTCCTGGTGGGAGTAAGAGTGATGGTGTTATCAGCTGTGGTGATTTTTCAGGGGAGGAAGGGTTTCCAGTGCTCCCCCATGTCCTGAGGCCTCTGTGAGGGGCTGTGAAAGGAGTAGGAGTCTTTAATTTGCAGAGATTGCCTCCACTGATAAAATCTTCATACTGAAGGCTATTCTTAATTGCATTTGTACCATTTTAATTTTGATCAACCCCCTTCCCCCCTTTGGAGGAAATGTAGAATATATCTTGCATTTCCTCCCAAAATTTAATGTGGGGTCCAAGATTTTATGGTATACTCCGGCTAATTAAAATTGGAAGTGAAAACTTTTGCTGTCTTCATTGTAGCTGCAATTTCTGACAGTGAGGATGTGCTAGGCATGCTTGCTGTGACAATAATTGCTCACAACATTCAAAAGAATTCTTTACCAAATATTTAATTTTTCCTGATTTCAGCAACAGTAGTCTTTAATCTTCTATATTCTGTATCAGTCTCGGCAATCAGTATGCTACATCAAAGTCAACGGGCTGCTTTTTACAGCTTTGAAAGAATTGTATGAATTCTTTTTAAATGCAGTCTGCAGCCCTCGATTATTCATGAAATCAAGCAGAATCAGACAGTGTAGAAATGCTTTTGTTGTGAAGCACATCAGCATTTCTCTGCCATCTTTTAAGAAGACTAAATCAAAGGGATTAAGAACCCAGATTTGAAAACCACAGAAATATAATCTGCTTTAAATAATCATATATATTTCAAGAAGTATTTTGAAAGTTTGAGCTGTGGTGTATATGAAAGTGTTAATCAGGACATTAGATAGTGCATTAATTAGGTTTCCAAGTTTATTTATTAGACTGAACTAAAATTGTACAGTACTGTAAATTAATATTATTCATCTTAAACTGGTTTTCAAAAGAGGGTCCAAAATGAAATTGATTTAATGCTTTTGTTCAAGCGCTAAAATCCTTTAGTCTCTGTTCTAGGTAGCCTTTGCTCAACATCAAGCTGAAGTTGCAACGGTGGGAGATTTTGATAAAGTTTGTGCAGAGAAGATCCATTGGAGTGATGGGATTTTTGGTAAGCGGATGATGACTTGAGTTTTGCTACCATCATTTCATGTTTGATGTATGTTATTTAAGATAGTGATGTCTATTTTTAAGAATTAATGTATATATCCAGTCAAAAACTATATATTGCACAATGGTTATTAATAAGCACTATAGTTTGAACCAGTTCTACAATAGGGCTGGTGGCCCTCAAGGAGGAATTGCCCAGCCCGCTTGCACTCCTGGAGACTAGCTTGGTGCTGATCCTCTGCTCACCATGCTGCAACTTTAGGAGAGGGAGCACTTGAGCATCAATTGGGGAATGTGCTCCTTTCTCCAATCCAGGCTTTTCTACATTTTCAATATTCCCACCCTTCTTTTCTAGTTATTCTGATTGGTTGCTAAGAAGAGCGCTCGCAACACTATTAGCTAAAACATTTCCCTGGAAATTTGACAGACAAAGGGCAAAGGAAAAGTTTAACAGAAGAGGGAAACAGTGAAAATTATGAGTTTTTAATATACTCTTATGTTTATATCTACTATGAACTGTCTGGCCCTTAACTCCAGTAGCTATAGTTACATTTTTCTGAAATCTCTAAAGGTATTGTAATACCTTTATTAGGTAGGGTAGGTGGGACTCGTCGACCTTGGAAGACAGCCCAGCTAGGAAAAGGAAAACTATGATTTCAAACCTCTACTGCCTTGTGGCCATATCCACTGATGGAAAAGGCTTCAGGAGTTAACCTTGAGGCAAAATCCAGAGCTGGAATCCCGGAGACAGTTCGTGTCACTCTGTCAACTCCTGCAATGTCCCTGGAACCAGTTGTATTGGCTCTTGCCTTTCCATTGGGCTATTTCAGTGACGTGGAGAGGGGGGATTTGTTGCTTGGGTAACAGCCTATCCTCCATATTATTTTACTCAGGCTTCGTGCTCTGCTTCACATACAACATTGAAATAACACGGGAAGTAGCAGTTACCAGTTATAAGTCTTTGCTCGATTGGCATAGAGCATGATGCCAGGGGCTATTTCTGACAATGGGAGTGGTCATTGCACCTCACTAGGTAGCTACCGCCCATCTTAAGCTGGGTAATACCCAGCCAGTAAGATGCTGTCTTGCCATGGTCTGTTAACCAAACGGGGTGCGTAGGGTTTAGGGTTTAAGCCGACAAGCACATTGATAACCATGCAACAATCATAAGAATACTTCGGCCCTAAAGTTGGGCACCTGGAATGTTTGGACAATAATCCCTGGCTTTTCTGACAATCTGCAGGAAATAGACAATGTTTGCAAGACAGTTGTCATTGACATGGAACTCAGTAGGCTGCAGATGGATATTGTTGCCCTACAAGAGACGAGATTGCCAGACATGGGATCTGTCAAAGAAAAAAAACTCCCATTCTTCTGGCAGGGAAAACCATTAAATGAGACCAGGGAATATGGTGTTGGCTTTGCAGTCAGAAATGCTCTGCTGAGATCCATTGTCCCACCTACTGTGGGGAGTGAAAGAATCCTGTCTCTGCAGCTCCACACATCAGCGGGACCAGTCACCCTCATTAGTGCATATGCACCAACACTATTTACAACAGAAGTCAAAGACAAATTCTGGCAGCTACTATCAAAAAAATCTCTGAGAGAGAGCTGCTGTTCATTCTCGGAGACTTTAACGCTAGAGTTGCTGCTGATCGCAATTCTTGGCCCGCTAGTCTAGGCCGTTTTGGCATTGGGAAGATGAACAAAAATGGCCAACGCTTGCTGGAATTTTGCTGTTATTATGGTTTTTGTGCCAGCAACACATTCTTTAATACGAAGCTACAACACAGAGTTTCCTGGAGACATCCAAGATCCAAGCATTGGCATCAGCTTGATTTGATCCTCACTAGACGTTCTAGCCTTGTGACCACACGCAGTTATCAGAATGCTGATTGCAATACTGATCATTCCCTGGTGTGT